AGCTGCCATATGGGCTAAACAACAACAATGGTATGTTAGACATCCTACCGCCTGTCTTGAAAACGTCATGGCTTTATCATGTCTGGACCTATATATTCTCTTCCTGACAGTCCATTTCCTTCCATTTTTAATCAGCATCTTAGTTTTTCCTTCACTCAGAATAAGCGTAGTGTTTATTAAGAGCTTTCTTGACAAGTTTACTGTACAGAATGCCCTCCAAAGTCTCTGTAATTATTCCTTACTTACATACCGTTAATTATATTGCTACTTTGCGAACTGCAAGGTTCACTGCTCCTCTGTATCTGCCTGTTACCTCAGTGTCTAACCACTGAAACCACCATTTGAGATTCTTTACCAAAAAATACTAGGCAGAATTAGTGTAGCTGGCCATTAAATGCTAAACAGCAACATTATTTCAGGTTTTGTTTAGTTTGTTTAAGGATCAGATTTTTTTGTGATATGGCCGGAGAGAAAACTGCAAATAACAAGCTGGGGAGACATACATGTACCACCAATCCCATTACAAATCTATGGCTTCATAAGCTCAAAGTCCCAATCAGTGGCCGACTCTTCAAGCTACTCAGCTCACCTTAACTAATATATGGAAGAAACATGCTCTTTGAGTCAACCGTTGCCCTTGGCAATTCTAAACCTTTGATATTGCAAGACATTTCACTATCTACAGAGCCAACAACATCCTAAGCATCAGATGTTGGGAACATGGAAAAAGACTCTTTACAGGCATATTATAAGTATTTATTCATCCTGTAACAGCTTATGAAAAAAAGTCTGAGAAAACAGTACTTGGAAACTTAAATGCTAGTTAAACAGTAAAATATCGCCCAATTTCAAGAGAAGTAGGGAGAATCAAGTTGTAGCAAGAAGACTTTTTCCTGAGGACCATATTGATGAGACTGACTTGCAAATAACTAGTGAGAAATGGAAAGTCGCCGTCAAGAACAGACAGATAAAAAAGGTAATTATCATATTTTGCTCCTAGGTGAAAATAAAAAATGCATTTATATCTCTTTTGTAGACAAGCAGCCTAGTGTGAAATGTCAACAAAAGAAAAGGTATTATTCTGTCTAGACAGCAACAGAAGTAGGCATCCAGTTGAGCCTAAGACCAACATGACTGTTTTCAGAACATCTTTGTTGGTCATTTTACTCCTAATCAAAAGCAGAATCCTGCTTCCATCTCTTTCTGTAGCAGCAAGTTCTACATGTGAAATATAACACTTCAGAAATGTCAGGAAAATTTCCTAAAATCTCTTTGGGGTTCTGAAATGTTGCATGAGGGAAGTCAAGGTCGGGAACTAGTATGAGCTTCTCCAGAACCCCTGTTTTAATCATCTCTGTTGTCTCTGTAAGAGGAATTTCATCATCTTTTAGCACCTGTAGCCCCAAAGCTGTTCTAACACTATGGACAGATATGATACAACTAGACAGAAGAAAAAAAATCCGTTTCTACAAAAGAATAAGTAGTCTTCTACATAATGAAGTACTGTACTTACTGATTTGCTTTGGGTTATGCTGAAAAGGCCTACTTTAAGGCACTGAATTCTTACAGCCTCAGGTTTGTTTAGATGAAAGAAAGGCTTTCTGGCAGCTGCCTGAGCAAATGAGTACTCAATGATCCACCCTAGTTTGGGTTATGTAAAACACAGTGGGTGTAAGCCACACATGTGCCTTCCGAAGGCAATGCCTCGGTTGTGCTCCCAACGGTTAGTTTGGCTGCCAACGTTCTTCTCCCTCCCACGTACCTGCTCTAGTAAAGCTCTGTTAAAGGAAAATTACTTCACATCCCAGGGCGTGACACAGTGTAAGTACTGTGCAATGATCTAAGGTGCCTCAAGCAATCATGGCGTTCATCCAGCTGTAGTCAAAATGTATTCTTTTCATTTTAGGTGCTTTTTTTTGGTGTCATCAACATAGGATGCAAATATGGTGCAGTGTTTGAGGTAGAAAAGAACATGATCACAGTATTTTGAAATAGATGGGAGATTAGTAAGGGCTCATCTACACAGTGCAACCCTTCTGTTGGAGGTCTCTAAAGCAAGCTCTAAGAGAACGGGCTTGAATGCTCAATGAAAAACAGTGGCATGCAGAGACACCTCAACAAGCTCTGACCAGCCCAGCACTGGAATCAGAAGCAACACAGTAGACATGTAACTTGAGCTGTGCTATGGGGCTGTGTGCTGGGGAGCACCAGGGGCAGACGCTGCTCTGAAGGGGAAAGTGAGCCAGGAGCTGAGGGCGACCGGCAGGTAGGCAAGGGGGGCAACTTACCGACAAGGGGGCTGTCCCACAATGCCCAAAAAGGTCAAGCAAGGCACGTCAACAGTCCAGGTCACCAGACAAGGCTCTGGTGGTGAGGCAGGTCTGAGGTCAAGCCTGGAAGCCAAGTCCGTTGGGATCAACAAGAGTACACGGCCAGATGCGAACGTGGATGCAATACAGCTCAGGCACGGACCAAGCAGAAGAGCCTCAGCTTAAATGCAGCTCCTAAGAGATGGTGGCAGGGTGGGAAGCACCTGGGTTCTTCCAGCTTTTTGTTGAAAGGCTGCAAGGCCAGCAGGCATTGAGGCCAGAAGCCACTGGAGGCCAGAAGTGCCTCAAAGCTAGATGTCTGCATTATCTAATTAAGCAGCCAATCCCCCAGGAGAGAGGGGAAGGCACTGAGGGCACTGACACTATCCCAGCTGACTTGGCTAAGAAGCGGTGGTGTGCTCTGCCATATTGACATACCAGGCTGGGTTTTTTTTATGGTGAAACTGCAGCAGCTATTGCAGTGGAGCTGAAGTGAAAAAAACTGGATTCAGTCCTTGCTCCACTGAACGGTGGCGGAAGATCCCAACGGAGAAAAAGCACTAGCTACATTGTCCTCTCTGTTCTGTGTAGATTAGTGTCACTCATTCAGAGTCCTACTAGCGGCAGTTTCATGACTTTGTCCTAAGTAATGGCAACTCTTATGAAAGATTACTATGTTTGAAAAAAATCCCAAGGATCTTCGTTGCCTGGTGATGCTATACTACAATCCTTGCTACTCCGGATTGCTGGCAGTGCACCTACTCCAGCGCATGAAGCAAGAGATGGAGGGTGCTAGGTACCTGCAGAGGAAGTACCTGGTAGGGAGACAATGTGTTTTAGTAGGACTGAGAGAGTTACTGTTGGCGGGAGGTATAGCTGTCAGGACAAGATAAGGTTCCAGCAACTGCGCCTCCCATTTTATATTGTTTAGGCAGAGCATTGTATGACTACTGAGTACACGCTACAGACCTCCCGGAACAGTCTTTCAGACAACCAGCAAGACAGTTTGACCACAACTTAGAAGATCTGGATTTCAGCACCAACAACCAGTGAGAAACTTATCTATGTGATGCAAGTCACTGAACTTCTTTGTGACTCAGTTCCCACTCTAAACAAGGGAAGACCTGTAATACGTGCCTTTATGAAAGTGCTTTGACCTTCCCACATGACAGGCACTGTATCATCATTCTCAGATTCTATATTAAGTAATGATCTCTGGAAACAGGCAACAGGGCAAAATACAAAAGTACATCAAACAGCCAGAAGCACAGAGAGTGACAAGTACCTACGGCAACCAACCGCTTGCACTATTTGGAACAAACAAACCAGAACTGGGTGACCACAGCACACCACAGCAGGTCCTCCAGCTACACAGTGCTCGTCACTGCTACAGTTTTAGAGACGCGGCCTTTTTCTTGTTGCACATGTCAACATTAGCTCTTTCTACATTTCAGGCCAACCTCTCTCTGGACTACTGCATCAACGTCATTCACTAGCACACTCACACCGCACACTTTGCTGCCTTTGTCATGCACCTGTGGAAGCCCGGGTTGCACACACAAGTGAACTCTTTCTTTCCTTCCTTTTTCCACAGTTTTTTCTTTTCTTCAAAAGATAAGCATCACTCCTGCAGATTTTTATCTGTAGAAGTGAGATGGAGAAAATGTTTATTATTTCAAGTTGGATTTTCCAGGAGTGGTTCACTCGGGATTCTTGCTGAGGACCAGTGTGCAGACTTGCAGGTTTTTTATAACATTCTCCGAATCAGAAATTATCACATGTAGGACAGTATGTGATGACAATTGCTGGTACTCAGACAACAGGAGATCTAATTTTACACATCTTTAAGGATGCTCAGCTACAGAGCGTAGCTGGAGAACGACGCAAGTATCTGGGACTAGCTCTGGGCTCTATTACTTCTTTCTTGTACTTCTGAAGAGAAAAGCCTCAAGCTTTTCCAAAGCTGGGAACCGAGTAAGTGGCACTACCCTTCTCCACACTCTTCCACTTTGGCCCCTTGAACCGGAGAGGCCTGGTGACAAAAATCAGCCCAGAATGGGGAAAGACATACTGAAACAACATACCATATATCTGCCTCAGTGTAAGCAGCAGAAAGACTTAAAACTATTTCATTCCCATTCAGACCCTGGACCAGTGGATTGCATGATCTCTCACTTTGCAAAACATTTACATATTCAACAAAATCGTATTAATTTGCATAGGTACAAATAGAAAATTCATTTGTACCCATAGAAAAGTCAAATCCCTGGTACTATATAGTCAGAAAAGCAAAAAGTTTCTTGTTATCTATATACCACATTTGTGCATTCTGAGAACAGTGACTTCAGTTCTCATCTAACTGGAATTACAAAAATTCTCAATAAAATGCTTTGGACTAGAAGTAGTCCTCCACTTACTCTGGAAGAGAAACAAAACATCACAAAAAGGAATGCATCCCTGGAGTTACGTGGAACATACTTCACCTTAGTCAACATATGCAGATGCGGGTCCCAAGATCACAGCTGGACCCTCAGCATGTTTAGAAGAGTCTGAGGATTAAGAGTTTTCCTTAATAACCACTGTAGCTGGTACTGTACTTTCAAGGAACATCCCATCTTGCACGGTTCTGAACTGTCATCCTACCAACTATGTTTTTGTTTTTACATGTCAAAAAATGTACAAACATAGATGTAGGCATTGATTATTATTATTTTTATTGCTCTTGTTAAAAAGTCAGTGTATGAATTACGGCAGTATGTGGTAAAAATGCAACAATACTGAGTGTTCTAACAGTATGAGGTCTATTATGACAAGATTTGAAACACGAAGCATGAGCTTCAATATGGATGCCCGAATTAAAAAATAAGCCTAAGAGGTAAATAATAACTACTGATCTCTCTGGAATTTCAGTACTAAGCAAATACAGAGTGGATTTGCAAGAACCAGACATATTTAAGACATGACAGAGTCAAACAAAGCTTCTAGAAATTAAAAAGTAAATTCTCTTTTTCTTTTTGACATACATAGAGGTATTTGTTTTGCACAGTAGTTAAACGTCACAGCTCTCCTATTAAACTACAACTACAATGTGTCAGGAGGATTTGCATGAAAAAAGGAAAAAGCAAAACAAAACCTTTTCTACATTGCCAGTCAGAGAAAAAAAACTGCGTGCTTTGAAACTTCAAAAATAAAACCAGCAATTTAAGAAAAAAAAAAATTCACATCTCCTGGGTGAATCTCCACCATAACAAAACACCAATGCTTATTAACTCTGTGCTTGGGGACTAAACAAAATTATGGCGCTATTCCTAATTCAGAAGCATACCCAAACAATTGGATATCCATGGATATTATTGCACTTGCAGCAGTGGTGCTTTAACTGGCCTGAAAACTACTTTCATTGTATTAAGGATATTGAGAAATTTTTTTTTTTTTTTTACATGTGTAATCTTACTCAAAAGATGCATTGTAAAAAGAATGGTATTCTAATTCAAAGTGCCATACCCTTTATAAAACAGTTTAAGCATATCTGGCACAACATGAAGCTCTTGAAACGCCTCCATTACTTCAGGAAAAGTCTTAAAGAGTAACATTTCCCAGAGGATGGGTGGGCACAGAGTACCAAATAAAGGGAAAAAAATGACAGTGGGCATTAGTTTCCCAGCAAAAGGATGTCCTACACCACACAACAGATCAGAAATAAATAAGGTGAAACTTGAAGAGTCTGAATATAAATCTTTAGATGATGTCGCGAGAGCCACAGGCTTCACCAAACCAATGTCAGTGTACTTTGTTAAGCATAGTGCAGTGACTATATACAGTATGTTTATCAGATAATGACAACTAACAATACACTAAATTAATGGTTGTTAAACAAAAAATGTACTAAAACAACATACTTGTAAAAACAGATGGCAAGCCCCCAATTATGCATAGTTACATATGATGAAGTCCAGCTCTCTGGAGTCCAATGCATTGACACCTTCAAGCATCACGAAGCAGTTTTCTGAAGCGTAAACAACATAATTAACAGAACCCAGTCAAGCTGTACGGGAATTACACTGTCAAAAACATCTCAAGTTCAATCACAAAACTCTCTGTAAGTGTTACCACTGCATAGCTGCAACGGGGCAGTCATCCATTCAAAGGTTTTACACTGCCATATTTCTTCAAAGGACTTTCTAAAGGATGTGCTGTTTAACATGGTGGTGATCTACACACAAACAAAACGTGATGAATACAAAGCACTTAGGTTTAGAAGCACTTATGGAAAAATCCATTACATCTTTACAGTGTATTGTGTGTGACTGCACGCACTATTAAGTTTCTCCTGCTTACTATGACGTGGCATCTTACTGTTCATAGTATTTCTACATACTAAGAAGAGTGAGCCTTCTCCCCAAGAAACCAGCTTCTTTAATATGGGAAGCCACCATGCCTGTATCAATGTACAGGCATGTACAACAAAGATGACAATGTCAAATCCCCATGGATCATGACAAAAAGACCCAGTTCTTCCCTTTGTTTCTTGCTCAGTTTCTCTGCTCCATTACAACTGTGAATGTCAGTCAGCATCCATGTGTTCTTGTCTAGAAAGCAGAGGGTTCCCATCTGTATCACCAATCTTTTTCCTCATTTCTTCCACTGCTTTCAGCAAAGCTGCTCGCTCCTGCTCAAGAGTGAGAATGGATTGCTTCAATTTGCCTTCATTGGTCAATAAAAGCTCTACCGTGGCTTCAAGGTTTTGGATCTTTCCATTAGCCACCTTTCAAAGTAAGAAGAAAAGAGGAGAGGGAGGAAGGAGGGGAAGTAAAAAAAAAAAAAAAAAATTCATTAATAACCGAAACCAACTTTAAACTATTTTGAGATACATCAATACATATAAAATACTTTCCAAATAATGAAAAATTGTAAAGGAAAATGAAAGTATGAATGTTATCAGATCTGTGTACTTTAGACTACAAGTGTGGTTTTGCCTATAAAAAGAAACTTCCCTCTCTCAACTTGATTGCTTCGATTAGTTCACAATTAAACCCAAGAATATAACGCAAAGTAATGAAATTAGAAAGTTACTAAGTCTGCAAATTATACACCAAAGAACTGCAGGTTAAGCTAAGCCTCTGTACGGGTCAGTTGGGAAACATTTTTAGCCAGCCGTATTTGTTGAATTTCACGTGTCCTGCAAAGCAAAGACAACTCAGCCTTTTAGCTGCATCTTCATTTCATCTCAACATTGAGTCCAACAAATGCCAAATTTGAAGGCAAAGGGGGAGATGGGGATTTAATGCAATATGTAAATAGACAACACATCTTGAAAAATTCCAAAAATTCTCCTTCAAAATGTTGCACATATGGACATTCTTCTTCATGGTGAAACAAAATATTACATCATTCAAACTCATCACGCGAGATATGTTGCTGAGGTACTTTGACAAAAGCAGAGATCTGTTTGGAAGTTTCAGCTCTTGATAACATTTGGAGACAAGAGCACTGCATGGACTTAGCTTTCAGGGAAGTATTTGCCTTTCTGATGAGCTCATTGTAGTTTCTTCATGCAATTATAGTGGGTTAAAAATTTCAGCCTTGGGGGCAAATTATTGACAAGCCATGACTCACATTGTTTGGTGATGCATTTTCCTCCCATCAGTAATGGGTCACCTTTCACCATAGGAAATGAAGGCTGATGAAGCCCACCTCCAAGACAAAGGGATTGCTCCAATGCTATAGGCAGTTAATTTCCCAGCTATGATGTCAGGTGCTGACTTGCCAGCACTCAAGTGGAGATAAGCTTTGTAAAAAACTGCTTAGGGCTGCAAAGTTGTTAAGGGCAGGAGGAGGTGGAAGATCCTCTGATGCAGGTATCTGTAGGACATCACATCTTGAATCTCATCCCAGAAATCCTCTCTCTCATGCTACAGTTCATTTCCTTGCCCATATGCCTGAAGTTTTATGACAATATCTTGCAGAGGAGTATCTCTTCCGACTTCTCTAAGGCTCATCTTAGGACCTGAAACAGGTCAGATCTCACAGGATCAGAATTTACAGCTTAAGCAATTTTTTGTTAAGAGAGGCAATCTAAGTCTGCATGGTTGGCTAGCTTTAGTCATGATAGAGGACCAACAGTTGAGAAACCTGGACTGCTTCTCTCATCTATTATTTCACAAAGTCTATGTCTTTAACAATAATCAAGAGGCTTGAAATGTCTGGTTCTTACCCTTGAAGTTCCTTTCTCCATCAAATTAAATGCATGATCAAAAGTTTTATAAATAATGTCCTGTTATAAAGCAGTCAGAAAGCTGACTTCTTGAACAGTTAAGCAACAAATAATCCCTACAGAGATTAGATGTATTGCCTCTAAAAGAGCTGCAGATTGAACAGGCACTGAGCATATAACAGAAATTATTATTTCACATATTTTCTAAACAATCTAAATAACTATTTAAAAAAATAATCTTGTAAGAAAGAGAATATCTTTTTAGACAAGGTATCCCATATGTGAGGTATCTCTAAATCATGACACTGGCATAAGCTTCCCGTTCGTGACAAGACTAGTATCCCTGCTGTAATAAAACAGTGACTGAAAATGTAAAAATGAAGTTGAGAAAGCACTTTGTGTCATCTTAGTCATTTTCTACAACTATGATTTTAATTACAAGAGAAGAGATGGTGTGATGAATCAACTTTCCACTAATTGCAAGCATATGCTCTATCTACTCCCCTTCTCAGAATTTCTTCTGCATTTGAACTTTGAAAGCTAAACTAAATAAAATTGCAAATGGCTATGCTTTAAAGTCACCAAATGCCAATCTCTCCAGTGCCTTGGTGTAGGATGGTCTGTTCTGAAATGGTGCATAAATTAGAATGTTAATTAAATATGAAACAAATTGTACCTGCAATTCTTCCAGGAGATCAAAGTTTTGTTTGCGCAGGCTACTGTTTGCCTTTTCTAATTTATCCAGTCTCTGATTGTCATTTAAAGATGAATCTATAAGCTCATCCTGAAGCACATGGTATTCAACTTCATAAGCTTGCAACTGCTTGGCAATATCCATTTCAAACACCTGTTGTATATAAAAATATTATTAGGTGCTGTGCAGATCAAAAACATAGTTCATTCAATGCTTTAAAATCTATGGATCTAGACTTAGATATCTAATCACTGCATACAAAAAAAAGGACTTAAATTTTGGCATTCATATTTCCTATACTGGAAATGGCAAGATTGAGGCAGTAAAGTGCAATATATTGGCATCGGATCTACTTAAAAACTTTACTATTGATTTGCTGCCTGACTTCAGAAAAATCACTTACACTCAAGTTTTCAAGAAGCGTAGACTTTGTAGTGTACTCCCCTTTTTAGATTTCAAATTTAATGTATCTCAGTTTGGCATAAACCCTCCTAGATATACTCGGAATTAGATGCCATTTTAGAAAAGTGTGGTCCAAGCCCATGTGCCACATGCCCAAGTGTAAGCCTAATACAATGAAAACTTTAAATGAAAAACAGCAGACGTTTATAATTCCACACTACTCATAGAGATTGAAAGAAAATGAGATAATATATCCTTACATTAATACACTTCATGGAAATATTATGTAAGGTCAAAGTAGATTTCTATTACTGTTAACTATGAATCACCAAAATGAGCGCTCAGTCTTCTTCATGAATATTAAGAAAATCTTTTATTTTAAAAGCAGATAAATAAATTGAGGTGCATAGAGTGACCCAAAGGAAAAAAACTGCTACTGTATTTTTGTCTTTCTAGGTTTTGGCAAAAATCTGCCTTCAAATTATTCAGGAAATACGAATCAAATGTCCCTGAACTAGTTATCTCTTCTGAATGCAGTGAAGAAGGTGGCAAATTTAAAGGACAAGCGTGTCAATCACAGAACATCGTAGAAGCAAAAGTTGATTTAAAAATGCATCTGGAAAATAGCCCAAGAATAGAAGTCCAAGGGTTATTCTTTATATTTAAACCTCTTGTACTTTATTCCTTTTAGAAATGAGTCAAATATCAAATCCTATCTTAATTATCTGCTGAAAGAACAAGAATTATTTCCTATTTTATCTGCTTTGTCTACAAAATTTTAACTGTTGGTTATAGCTAAAGAAAACACCAGTGTATGAAACGTTTCTGACACCTGTTACATAAAAAATTCTCTCGCAGTCGTATAGTAGTAGAAACACATACACTGAGCATCTAAGTACAGAAGGCTGAAATACAATTTTAATTTGAATTTAGTTACACATATAGAAGTTTCATTTTCTGTAGGTCTGAGTATTCTTGGAGAACACACACTGTTTTAATTTCAGTAACACAAACGGTGCAATTCAGCAGGGCAGAAAGCTAGTTCCTCTCATGACCTCTGCCACTTCTAGCCTCTGTGCTCTTGAGAGGAGAGGGAAATCCCTGCTGTCATACCCAGAGTACCAAATCTGAAAGGGGGGAAACATGAGGCAAATCAAAAGCTTGACTTGAAAACTAGCTAACTGAAGGCACGTTAGGGCACGTAAACCAAAGGCCATGCTGCAGAAGGCATGAAGAGGATGGGGATTAGCCCAGGAGCTGTGTATAGACTGCAGGGCTGGTTAAACAGCTGCTCTATTCAAAGGCAGCCCTGACCGAAGCAGGGCAATCTCTCTCCCTTCAATTCACTTCCACCTGCCCACTTTAAATTTAGAGCAGTAATAGTTGCCTAAACAGAGTATCTCTCCCTCCTTCTGCTCAAAGCCAATGGCTTCCTGCAGGTCACCTACACACTGCAAGTCTCTGCAGAGCTGTGCACTCCAGGCTTTCAGCCTGGCAGATAGCGTACGATCCCCTTTGCCCCCTAGAAATCACTTGCTTTCCTTCCCCTCACAGAGGCTTTCTAGTTCCCTCCTCCTTCCTTTGACAGTAAGCATGAGAAGCAATTATTCTGATCCTAATTTGAGCACAGGAAGCTCTGTGGAAGCTCCTGGAAGCTCTGCTGCCAGGGATCAAAAGGGAGCCCCTCACATGCATTCTGCAACATCCTGCGCTGCCGCCTGCTTTCTTTATCAAGCCACAGGCTTTGCAGATCTCCTTCAGCCCTGGGTGAGTGGCAGGCATTTGCAATTCTATGCAGCACACCCTACATGTTTTGGACTATAAAAGGCCTTCAGAAAAATAAGTTAAAACCCATCTTCTATTTGCCTGCTGCAAGTTAGATGTCAAGTGTAAGAGGGTTTCTAAACAGGCAAGCCTTAACTGCAATAATTTGTGATTTTTTAAATCCCATAATCATCTGGAACCTTCTGCTAGTTTAGCAATATTGCATCATTTTCCTTCTCCGCAATTTAAAAAAGTGTACCAGGATTCCCAGTTTTGCTTTCTAGAGCCACTGCTCACTGCGAGAGACTGCGCTGCCCCATGTACTCCTGGCAGAAATACAAAGGCACTGTTGTAACACTGAACCAGCACCATAAAAGCCAGTACAGACAAGGCAACGTAAGGAGGCTTCTAATTTCATTAAGTACAGTCAACATTTGTGAGGCTCTTGTATGTCAGTTTTTGCTTCTGAAATGAAGACTTGGAGAGCAAAATTCTTTGGAGACAGGAAAACTCCAAAGGCTTTTAGCCCACCTTGCGCTTTTTTTCGTGGAATGCACTGTGTATGGGCTACTATGTTGCTGCCTATAACAGCTATTACACACATTCCAAAAAAAAAAAAAAAAACCAACCTCATTTTCAGTAAAGGCTTCATTAAATGACCATAACCAACATGTAGATGTATGAATATGGAGGTACTATACATATGCTTCCAAAAGTTTTCAATGTCTTCAGAACTATAATAACAGAATTCTCAGCTTGAGCTAACATGATATACTGTTGTGGTTTTTCTGTCAAGAACTTGTTAAAAAGAGTACTTCTTTGCATCCTACTCGTATGTTCAGATTATTTCATACCTGACTAATGGTCTTTTCCATCTGTACCAAACCCAAGTTGGGGAGAGTGCTTTTAATAAAATCAACAATAGTTTCTAGGTTCTCATGCTGCAGAATCAAGGGCTTGTGGCTTCCCAAAAGGCTTAAAGCCACTTTAAATACAGCCTCTGATCCTTGAAGAAATAGCATATCTGTGAAAACAAAGAAAAAACAGTATATCAAGCAAGCACATCTTTTGACAAGAATATTAAAACAGTAAAATGTCCAAGTACAACAACTTCTTATAGGGGCAATCTGGAGGCTAGGTATACTCTGCCAGACACATGCTTCTGTTACTGTGGCTATGGCTTTGGAAGTTGTGTAGGATCAAGATTATAACTGTGAATAGCACGCTTGAGTAACACAATCAATTATTAATATGTTTAGTGAGTTTTCATCCAAAAAATCCAATTCAATTTTAAGCTAAGTGCACAATGAACCAGGCAGTCAAGTTTGTCAGTGTTGCCACTTTTTGTGCACATAATAGTTTTGTGGGCTTTTTTCTTCTGAGATGGTCACAGGAATCTGAATTTGAATAGAATTATAATCCCAATGCCATTTAAAAATCCTCATACTATAGGCAAAAACTACACGTGAAGACAGAACCGAAGATCTGAAGTTCTGTTCTTTTCTCATTTGGTAGAGAAAGCTACAAAATCTCAGTAATACAACATTGAGCACATGAGGCTAAATATGCTCTTTCCAGCAGCCTCAAGTTTCATGTGCATGTGCTTATTTTCAGTATGTCTTAACCTCTTATGTTAATATTCTAACAGCTACATTAATAAGTACCCTGAAATCCTAGAAATACAGCTTAAGTGTTAATATTGCAGGTGGCCTTGCAGTGACAGCACCTGGCATACATTCAAGCACACTGAAACTGCAGTGTATAGTGACCTTTCAATGCAACTTCCTTTCTTTTCTTTTCCTTTACAAACTTCCTATGTCTTTATGGAGGAAAGAAATAGAAGAGTGCAATGAAAGCATCAGACAAGAAACCCATCTTCACAAACCCATCTGTCCACAGTATAAACAGCATTGCCCTGCGTTTGACTTTCCTGCTGCTATAACTCAGAATCTGCTCCTGGTTTTATTGAAGGACTCACTACAGACAAAAGCATCTAACATACGAAACAATACTGGCGGAGGTGGAAAAGGAAGATAAGATACCGTGGTTTTATTCCATATTTAAAAATAAAAATATCTTTTTTATTTTTAAAGAGCTTCTCTCTTGCTCTTTCTCTTCCTTGCATTTGAAGCTGTGAATGAAGTCACAATCATTTATGAAGTGGCACAATGACACCAAATAAATAGTATGTCTTAAGGACAAAAAAAAAGAAGGAGAGGGAGAGGGAGAGAGAGAGAGGGAGAGAGAGAAGAAAAACCACCACACAGGAAGGGAAACAACAACTAGCAAAACCACAAGCATCTCTGATGTAGTAAAGAACATATGAAAACACTGGCTAACGGCCTTTCTTAGTAAAAGCAATTTCTTTTTCCAAATTCGTATCAGAATGAAATTCCCCCTTGCACTCTTTTGCCTGTAGTGTTGAAGCCATAACTCAATTCATTTCTCTCTCTTTCTCTCTGAGAAAGAAAAGCACAAGTAATAACTATCCATAAATTTTGCAGTTTGCTGCCATTTGTCCTAAAAGTGGTGTAAAATTTTTCAGCTCTGATTCAATGTGAAGTTCAAAGGCAGGAATGACTGAAAAGTGGTGACAGAGTAGGCATCTACCTCAATTCTCTACTGAAACTGAAAACTATGGGAAAATGATCTATAGGGAAAGCTCTATATTAGGACAGGGAATGCTGAAGAAGAGCTAGGAAACACAAAGTGAAAAAACAGAGCTGAAAATAATGCATATTTATGATTCAGCACCTGCCCCAAAAAGACATACAGATTAACTCAAGGTGACCTATAAGTTGTTAATGAATGTCTGTATGAGCCGAGCTGGTAATATATGGCTGAAATCCGTCTCTCATTTAAAACAGCACGTACTTAACAAAGACCCGTTTGTTACCCACTCCCTACTCTTCCCATTAAGCGGGCTGCCAGCCAGCAACAGTACAGTGAAAGTACGCAAATTAATGTCAGCATGACTGGCAGCCTACAGGATTTAAAAAAATCAAGTTTTATCTAAAATCTTTAAACAATATAAACATTATTCTACCAAATCTCCCTCGTTAATAAGTAAATAGATCCTGCTCAGGAGAAGCGTTAACAGTTTGGAAAGATAATTAAAAAGAAGGCTTGCTATTTGACTCATAAAATGGTCTTTAACTTAACCTTTCTAGTCCACTTTTAGATATTGTGTTTAAGATGCTTGCAAAAAGTACACTCTATGGAAACGTAAAGGAAGTGGTCTGTAGCAATTACATTACTAAATAGCAGCAGGGCTTCAAGCATCAAGGGTTCAGAGACATCACGTTAGAAAATGGCAGTGCAATCCTACAGTCTTAGTAAACTATAAATCAGCTACTTCAACATTAAAAAGCAACATTCCTTCATCCCAAAGGTTCTACTCAGTAAGCAATGAAAATGTAGATATGTTCTGCGAAAGTGTGTGAACACATGGGTCAGAACTGGTTGGATCCTAACTTGCCACGCTGCTAATGACAGCCACTAGCAAAGTGACAGCTTTAGCCTTTTGTAGGTTTGCAGTCGTGTTTCAGAGTCCTTAGCACAGGTGAAGATGAGATTTTACTTTCTAATGTAAAAGAATGTCCCATGTTCTTGACTTACATAGCTCCAGTAAACACTGTTTTAAGGAAATGACTAAATACTTTGAAACATTAAAAACTGCAAGTGTTGGTCATGCTGGACTTTCTAAGAAATGTCAGAGATTTTTGTGAGGTGGCAGTTTCAATCACACATGCTTATCTGTTCTTTGCCTAAAATCAGTCCTGTGAAGATCATGTATCTATGCCTTCTATTCTAATGTAAAATCTTTGCTTTTTAAATCCCTACAGTCCTTCAATGACAGATAAAACACTAATCTGTGTTTGGACAATACTTAATTTTCCAATTCAAAGATTCTTCTTGTCATGTACAATACTACAAATGATTAAGAATAATTGAAAGATGAACTGATTATAACTTGGTATATGACACTCACACACAGTACTTCACTTAATTCCTACAGATTATTACTGTCAGCTAGATACTTGTCGATGTACATTAGCCTACTTAGAACTTTTCCAGAAAACAAAGCCAAACACACACACACAAAAAACCCCAAGGCTCTTTCTCTTTTTCCTGGAGTTGAGATGCTAACCACAGGACACGTAGTTCTGCTTAGCTATACACCATCCTTTCCACTGTGATTTCTACAAGCACTAATTTTGGCATGTCCTTAAACAGAAACAGGACTGGACTCTTGTTGGCTTTTCTTGGAATCTAAATTCATTATTTGTTATTGTGGTAGATGAGACTAAAATTTTTTAAGTCAGGAAAGTGTCAATATTAATATCCTAATAAATAATTGCTTCATTACATCTCTTAAATGAGACTGACTAAGGAAAATGAAAATAGCTTCTCATTAGAAGAGAGGAATTGAGAGGAAAGCTCCAATCCATCCTGCTCATCATGTATCCAGTATCCAGAATCCGGTAATGAAATTGAAAACAAACAACTGAAAAGAAAATAAAACATCTCAAATATCAAACAATTAACCTATGGAATATACATCCATAAGATAGCATCAAGGTAAATTCTTAATGGGAATTCAATTAAAAAAAGAGAGCTTTACTCTGTACATTCCAAAAATAGGTAACAGAATTGACTTTAAAGCCTAAACCCCATATGTTTCCAAACATTTTTGGACAGTGAGATTATCAGTCAGGCTAAAATTGTAAGGATAAGAAACACCAGTTTAAAAGTCCTATGTTTCTGCAGAGTAAATCCATGATTAAACTGCAAGGACCATCTCTGTGTGTGTTTTGAAAACATAACCCTCAAAATCATTTTCCATTGACATTGTTGGAGACAATGATAATAGAGTAAATGGATATATTTCTCAGATTATGTCTTTGTTACATCTCTTTTCAGCTTGAAACTAATTGCCAGTGTTGAAGTGCTATTGTCATAACACCATGCCTTCATGGCATCAAATTTTACATCCTCTCTACAAGTGGTTACAGGGTGGGAAAAGGTAACAATGAGGATGAAAAGACAGGACAGTCTGGGACTGTCATACACTTTCCTCCTCTCTCATTCCATTTTACTGTAAATACTACATGTTCCATAAGACGACCTCTATTGTTGTTGTTCTGTTCATTAACAGGAAGTAAAATGTTTCTCCTGGATGTCTGAAACAGGTTGGTTCCTAATAACAGGATTCCAAATATAAGACTTCAAAAAGAACTGACAGAAGTTTTATGAATTACCAAACACTCTGGCTACAAATCCAAGGGGAAACTGAGAGGCAAACATGGTGAGAAACCAAGGAGCAGCATAGAGGCTGGGACCAATCTCATGTTCCTCTAGGTGGTTATAGAGATCTCGATGGTAGTCATGAAGAAGTCGAGACAGTTGATACATCTGGATCTGCATGGAATAAGAACAAAGTGACTAAAGATAAACATGTTTTAACGCTCATAGTAGCAAAGTCCATGCTTCACACTCTTACTAGAAACAGTGAAAGATATTTGTCAACTGATGTTTGGATGGAATTGTGTGAAGAAAAGAAATACTCAGAAGCCACCTAAAAGACCCAAGTTGGGTCACCTGTCAGTCTACGACAGGCTCATTTGCTGGGTCATATGAGCTTCGCACAACATATAACAGAATTCTTCCTAATTATGGTTTTCATAGTTTCCCCAGTAGCCTTTTTATTTGAAACTAGTGCATTTAAGGTGATATATTCTTTTCCCAGATTATCCTTCTCCATTTTGCAGCACTGAATTTAATTTCAAGTCCAGATTTTGATGCTATCTATATAGCATTATTGTGATTTAACATGAGTGTTCTTTTATTAGCAAAATTGAAATCATACCTGTAAAATCGTCATGTCAGGACGATACTGTTTCCTCAGGCCTATGTCAAACATGAGAAACTTTAGCATTTCAAAAGCCTCTTCTTCATTCATATGAAGCAGTAGAACTCCTGCTACAAAACTGAGGCCTTGGCAATATCCTACTTCCTGGTCCAGAAGGGAATAGGCCTTCAAAATATTGTAGAGGGACAGCTGCCCAGCTCCAAGCTGTGCTGAGAAGTACGGATGTGTTGGAAATGTGCGCCCTGTGAAAATAGCTGAAGTTAATGACTTAACCTAAAAAATAAACAACAACAAAAAATACTTGCTATGTTATCAAATTAAACAGCCTTTCAAAAGGTAGATTCTTCTGAAAAGTAGATTCTGAGTCAACCTTTGGGAAGACCGTAAGGAAGTTAACAATGCAGAACTATTGACTCTCACACTCTACAGATAAGGGCTTCTCTGATTAGTTTTGTTACAGTAGTTGCAAAGTTAATTTAGAAATTGTCAGGGAAGACAGGCTCTGGGATGGGGACAGTCTGTTATTTGGAACAGCTGAGTAACTGGTTCTTAAGACTGGCCCTCGATCAGTTTGTTAAAGGGTTTGTAGAGGGTGGTTGCCGAGTGGAGACTCTATTCAGCGTCTCAATGACTCATCCAGTCCTCTTTTATTGATTAAAAAGTGTTGGCTTTTAGACAACTGTCAGGACACAGGCATAGAATTAGAACATCTGAGTTCTCTGGGTTGGGACTACTTCACTTTCTCTTTTCTTGTCTTTCTTTCCAGTAAATGTGTCTCTTGTCACCTCCTTCTTTGCTGTGGGCCCTCCCAGTCTTATGGGTCCTTCCTCCTTTCCTGCAGCATGAAGGTCAGAGTCTTCCACGAACTGATCCAGTTCACTAACCTGGCAGAAAAATCCCCTTTTACACAGGGTTAGTCGTGCTGCCCTGTCGCTCAGCTGTGCCAGCTCTGGGAGGTGTCCCATGAGCACCAGCACAAGTGACAAGTGCTTGGAGAGTGAGAGTCATGGAAGCAAAACTTTCTCGGTAGCGATGGGTTTTGGATCTATTCCCCACATCTCTTTAAATCCCTGCCTAAGGTAAGCTATACTAATTGTAGAGCTGCAGGAGCACAACTGAGCCATTTCTGGTCCTTCAGTTCTGGAACAAGATGACAATTTCCACCCCAGACTGGCTTATCTGTAAACTTTCATACAGAGCTGGACCCACCTGTCCTTAAAACAAACCAATCCAACTAAGTAACTTACACAATCATATTGACCCACAATATTTACTCAGCAAGTAAAAACTCAATTTGCCTTTTTTTCTGCAGCCTTACAGTATCAAGAATTGTGTGCCTATATATGTGCTATGATATATGCCATATACACATGCTATATACATATTATATGAGAGAGCAGCTAACGGAAGCAGCCAACAGACACAGCATTTTGTGCAGCAGTTTCTGGGCTTTGCTTCTTCTTCTGGGCTCCTCTTGTGCATCTGGATTTTTTGTCTGGGATCGCCAGGGTACTCATGGAAATCTGAGGGTGCTGCTGCTGGCAGCTAAGGCTGAGGCTGTGGTAAAGGTAGCTCTGGCAGCTTCAAAGCAACTCTTGTCAGCTGCCCTTGATGACAGGGTGCCTGTAGCCTTTGTTCTAACTGATCCCTTATTATGGAGGGTCATTAACATCCTGGATGATAGGGCAGAGCGCACCCTCAGCAAATTTGCAGATGACCTATAACTGGGAGGAGTGGCAGATACACCAGAGAGTTGTGCTGCCATTTAGAGGGACCTCTACAGGCTGGAGAAATGGTCTGACAGGCACTTCATGAAGTTCAACAAAGGGAAGTGCAAAAATCCTGCACCTGGGGAGGAACAACCCCAGGCACCAGTATATGCTGGGGCTACCCAGGTGGAAAGCAGCTTTGCAGAAAAGGATCTCTGGGGTCCTGGTAGTCACCAAGTTGAACACGAGACACCAGTCTGCCCTTACAGAAAAGAAGGCTAATGGTACCCTAGGCTGCATTACGAGGAGTGTTGCCAGTAGGTCCAGGGAGGTGATCCTTCCCCTCTGCTCAGCACAGGTGAGACCAAACCTGGAGCGCTGTGTCCAGCTCTGGGCTCCCCAGAGAAAGAGAGGTATGGACATACTGGGTTCCTCAGAACAAGAGAGATATGGACATCACTAAGACAGAGCATCTTTTCTATGAAGAAAGGCTGAGAGACTTGGGACTGTTCAGCTTGGAGAGAGAAGAGAGATCTTCTAGGAGGATCTTATCAATGTGCACAAATACCCAGTAGGAGGGAATGAAGAAGAGGAAGCCAGGCTCTTCCCAGTAGTGCCCACTGACACAGAATGAGAGGCAATGGCCACAAATTGAAATACAGGAAATTCCACATAACATAAGAAAAAAAATCCTTTTTTATTGCAAGAGTGGCCAGACACCAGCATAGGCTGCCCAGAGAGGTTGTGGAGTCTCCGTCTATGGACATATTCAGAACCTGAGTGAACACGCTCCTGGGCAACCTGCTTTAGCTGACCCTGCTTTGAGCAGGTAGGTTGGACTAGATGATCTCAAGAGCTCCCTTCCAACCTCAACCACTCTGTGATTCTGTGAACAGAGATATTAAAGGCTTCACTTTTACAGATTTTTTTCAAAAATTTCAAAAGGAAATATTTTAATTTCTAGGGAAAAAAAACACCTCCCCCTATTAGATTTCCCCAGTGAAACACCTCAACAGAGAAGAAAATTGAATACTCCTTTTGTTCTAGTATTAAGTGAAGCTTGTTTTTCAATTGCCCACTTGTTAAATACCACCCCACCCTTTTGTTCCCGTAATGCTGCTGTGCTGCCAGATAACATCAGAGCTCCTGTTTCAAGAAGACAAAGCCCAGAGCAGAGTCTTTCTGCCATCTGGTAGCTGCTCTGGCCTGTCGCTTGGGACAGTGGCATTCAGTTTCTGAGCAGGTCTCCCCTGGCCAGGTGTTCACAGAGCTGAATGCTACAGAAGAAATGTTTCTAACTTCCAAACGGGAAGAAGCTTGTGTTCTTTTGCAATGGAATCCTCTGCCCAAATGACAAGCTATTATTACAGCAGGGTGTAAAGGCAGACCTGTACTGCCTCACTCATGCAGCAAGACTCTTTTCATACAAGTCATGCAGAAAAGTTACAAGCTGAGCTAGAATAAAAATGCAAAAAAGTTCTAAAAAACAGTAAATGGAAGAGGAGCAGAACTGCTAAACTCACAAGCTGATTTCTTCTGAGTGCCCTGCTGACGACTTAACTAAGAATTTTAGCTTTCTCTTAGGAGCAAACAACTTCTGGTCCTGC